CTACATATAGTCAAACCTATGAAAGAAAACTAATCCACAGCATTTGAAAAGTAGCTTTGTATACCAAAATGTAAATATGGTTTAATTTCTTGCTGAGAATACTGCTCTAATTTTTGTAATACTTGTTTTGTATTTTTTTATGTTACATATGAGAAAGTTACATGTCACTGAAGTGCCCGCTTCCTTTTAAACACTGGCACCATTAAATTAGAGCTATGTTAACAGTCACCATTAGAGCAAAAAAACCAAGAAAACAAAAGTTGTCACTGTAGTAGGGCAAAATCCTACTTTGAAAAATGAGGTAAATAAATATACAACCTAAAAAGGTTTTCATAGAGCGCATAAAGTTCCATTATATCAATTCCTTTAGGAAAAAGGTTTTGCAAATGCATATCCAAAGCAAGTGTTAAACTACAGTTGTATATTGTTTGAGTTTAGGACCTAGTGATGTGACATTTGAGTCTTATTTTCCAGGTAACACAATAATATTTACTTAAAACCAGCAACTATGGGGCAACAATCATATATATGTTTAGATTTGTAACTACACCTTCAAGTAGGTCATTGAAGATACATTTATTCTGATAAAATTACTCAAAGGGCAACTGTACATATTTTGCATGAATTGCTGAAGAATGGTGTTTATCAATTAGACTTAAAAAAAATCTTTTACACAGCAGCTTCATTTTTGAAAATGGAAATTCATTAAAAATCATAACAAGAATTAAAGAAGCTGGAATCAAATCCAGCCTTCAGATCGTTCCCCTAAGAAAAATGGTACTGTTTATTTTCTAACAATTTAAAAATTACAAATTATTATAAATTATTATAATTATAAATTAAATTAATTATATAATAAAAAGACAGACTTGAAACTTCAAAAATAACTTGGAAGCGTGCTTAAGTGTGTAAGCAAGTACTAGGACACCCATAATGTAACTCAAAAACTCTAAGCAATTAGCTAAATTTTTTAATTCGAGGCCTATTAACCTAAACTGTCTGGAGAAGTTGTTGATTCACTTGACTGCATGCATTCAGCACCCAGTTTTTCATTCAGGAACAGGTACCAATGATGTGAAATAAACAAAGTTCATAAAGCTCAGAGATCCTCAAGTATGTTAATTCCCGCTTGGGAACCTGAATCAATGAAAACACAGAAAAAGTTTAGATCACAAAAGAAACCAAAAGACAACTCAGAACTGTATGGTTAATATGCAAACAAAAGTTGCTGTATTTCCACATTTGTATTTGTATTCTGTTTACAAAGTTTGGATTTAGGACTTTCAAGTTAAATGCTTTTTTAATACAGAATAAGAAATAATTATCTCGATAAATCTATTGTACTATGCACAGCTTTATCCTTCCTCTTAGGTCTGGGTTTTTAAATTTAAAGCCCTCAAAATATCACAATCAGTTCTGATGCTGGAAGAAGGAACTTCGATTGCAGAAGTCTATTCACACCTTCTTAATGAGCACACATTCACACCTTCTTAATCAGGTAGCCAAACCATTCCTAACTCTACAAGAAAGTAAGAGACAGAATCTTAAGAAACTATTATTTAACATTTTCAAATGGTCAACCACACAGTAAATTAGATTACCCCTAACCTGGAACAATCCTGCAGCAATGAAAATTGGATAGGATAATAGCAATAATGTTATGATAGCATCTATTTTTTGGAGTATGTCTCAAGTATTTAGGTACCAATGACCTACTAATGTACACAGTCCAAACGTAATTTCTGCTACTAGATTTGATTAGGAAATGAATTTTCCCCCATCATAAAAGAAATTGCTTTTTCATTGAAAGACAACATTTTCAGAATCTTTTTTCAACGATACCCCAAATATTTTCACCACATAGAATTTCCATGAAAATAGTTTTAAATTTAAGTTAAAACTGTTTCTTCATAAAACCATCTCAAGCTATTGTATTTACATGGTATCTTAAAAGGTATTACTTTAGCCTAATATTTCACCTCAAGAAAGCAGCTGAAAGATGGCTCTGTTGAACTTTCTGTACCATAGCCTTCTAACTAGAAGAGAAATTCCTAAATGTTAGCTTGGGCCAATCCACCTTTTAGAAGAAACAGTCCGATAGATCTCTAGCACATATATAAAACAGCTGAGAATTTTTACTTAATTCCAGTTGTGTGGATCCCCTGACTTCATCTTGTGTTCATACAATATCCTTACAGTAATGGCAGCAATTACTTTCATGTAAAATTATACTATTACTATAGGTGATTAATTTGTAGTGTCTCATTTGCTAAATGAAATTGGGCAACTAAAATCAAAGGTTAGGATCATATGACAGCACGGGACCAGAGCAACAGCAGAGTTCTGCAGAACAGGGAAATGGCTTGGGAACTTCAATGCTGCTATTTTGAATATGTCTGTTCTAGTACCAATGTCTGTAATGATGCAAATCTTACTTTCAAATAATTTTGTTGTACTAGTATACACTCTCCTTTTAACTTCTCCTTCCTTCTCACAGTAATTTTTTACCTCGAAAAATGACAGGATGACTTCTGTTAACAAAAGACAAAGCATGGAATAGTAAACTCCAGACTTTTTAAAAAATTTGATAGTAAATATAAAATAGCTTAAAAAGAATCTGTAAACCTCTTCTGAAAATTCTAATCATGCAGGACTTTATTTAAACGATAAGAAGGCTACCTGAATAACTATTCAGGTCTGACTCTTGGGATGGTTTCAAGCTCCAGCTTTAGACCACTTACATCAAGCTGGCTACATATGTGTTAGACATTAAAACTCCTATTAAATTCAATGGAAATCTAGTAGACGTACCCAACAGACTCTACAGAGCTCACTCAGCAGCAGACATCCTGCCCCTGCCCCATGGGCTGGGCACCTCAGCATCCTTAGAGGTTCCACTGGCCCAATCTGTGTCGTCTTGAAAAAGAATTACATACCCAGCATAGTCCAGACCCCTAAATATGAGGGCAGGAGGTGGGTATCTCAAGCTCATGCTTACTATCTAGCTACTGCATTTATGCCAAAGAAAAACCCGAGTGTTTCCCAGAGAGTGGGGGATTGTCTACGTATGGGTAAAAACAGAATTAATCAGAATGATTTAGTATTAGAATCAAATGTACAACTTCTTCAAATGTCAAATACTTCTCTCACATTGCTTCATGTCCTTGATTTTACTAACATACCCACTATTTTTACCAGAAAAACAAAGAAGAAAGTTAGGATTATGCTGTGATTTCCTGGACAAGTTAAGAGGCTGTGCAACTTGTCATATGTTAGTCATAAAAACTGACCTTTTTGCAAGAAAATAGTAAAAAAAGTTTATTGTCATAAATTATAGATCCAAGCCCTTCCTGTTGACTACATCATTGAATTCCGTTCTCAGACCTTTTCACCCGTAAATTTTGCGACACAGTAAATTTGAAAACTTACAAGTAATTCTCAAGTGTTCAAATGAAAACATGCACTCTGAATGCATGTGTAATAACACATAATGAAGAAATTCAGAGCAAAGCTTTTCAGAATCAAAATTGCAGGCACCAATCCAATAGCAGAAGTTATTGTAGCTCTAGTTTTAAAGTCATCAACACCAATGAAGAACCCATACCAATGGGAGTCAGAAATAATATTTTAAACACTGTTTCCTCTCCAAGGTTCAAGCATCACCTACCATGATCAACTTGATCCCATGGTATCTAACTCATAAATAAGAAAAAAAGTTAGATTTTTTAAGTAAAAAAAGTAAAGTTTTGACCATTCTCAGAGACACCATTTCTGTTCATCAGTCCTCAGTGAAAGTCACAGACTTTGGACCTACAGATATCTATGCTGAATCACTAAAATAGATCACCTCTGAAGAAAGACCATGCCTCAGCTGCCTGGCTTGACACAGTAGAGATGCAATGCTAGACCCAGGAGCAGGATATGCTGAATACTGGAGTATAAAGGCCCGATATGGAAAGCTTCCATCCATACAACTGACTTTCTTCAGAGAAAGCAGACAACTGATATGTTCGCTGGAGGAAATTTATCCATGCAAATAAAGGGAGGACATAAAGTGCATCCCTGAGATAAAATGCACAATTGCCTACTTGTTCTCTCTTACGTTGAAGCCAAAAGCCAGATTAAGATGCATCATTTATATTTTGCTTCTTTATTGCTATGTTTTTCTTTTTGTTTTGTACAATATGCATTTTTGTGCTGTTGTGTCTGTGTGACCATCTTTCTTCCGTAAGTATTTTCTTTTGAATAAATATACTTTTATATATCTCTGAAACAGTTAACTTTATAGGCTACCCCTTCCTGCATGTTTTACTACTGATAACTTGTGATAGGCATTAGGTCAATAAAACTGGTGGGTTTCATATGTTATATGTATCCTTACTATTCAAAGGAAAAGTGTTCTATTCTGCAAGACTATTATCAAAAACCACCCACAATGTGGGTTGAAATATCTAGTCACAAAACTGAATTTACTCATTTTGTATGGCAGACCATTTTGTCCTTGGATTAGATCTTGGCACCACAAAAGCATTTAACCACCACATTTCATGTAATGGCATTAAATAACATACATAGCTTCACTTCAATGGTTTATGGTTTTAACTACAGCTCAGATTCAAATGAAATTCATCAGTACAAAAAACAGGTTTATTTTAATCTGAAAGAAAATGAGCCAATCAAAATACAAATTTAAGCCAAATTCTTCTATGTTCTACTAAGTACAAGATGCCTTTGTATTAAACATTGCTTGTTTCACAAATAAAGCAAAGCTTTGTTTGTTAGTGTCCAATAAAACCAAGAATATTAGCTTGTTGCATCATTATTTTGCTCTAGAAGCTATTTGTTTAGTAAAGTGATTCCTTTGGGAGACAGCTGATGTCACTATCATAATCCAAAAGAACAGGAACTATTATAGATATGTGATATTATTTTAGCAAATAAAAATATTTAAAATTTGTAATGAGCATACCCAGGGTTTTCTTTCAGTACTCCAGAACATCTTAAATAGAAGGCTTACTTCTTTTGGCTTTCTTTAACTTCGAATAATCTTCTTCCTTCTGTTAACAAAAACCAAACAAACTAACAAAATACAAAAAACAGTAACACAAACAAAGCAGTAGTACTAAGCTAATAGCTCAACTAAAAAGTTGTTTCTGAGTGAAACTATGTAAGAACTAATAAAAGTTTTTATTTTACATCATAAATATAATTTAAAGTATGTTTATATGTACAGTGGATAAATAATTAAAAATAGAACTATTTTGAAAATACCCTTTTATGTGGTGGCAGCCAAGGCTTTCAAAACCAACTGACCATTTTGGTGTTCAACCTTGAGACAATGACAAAGGCTTACTCTTCAGAGAAGTGTTTAGCAGCATCCCCAGTCAGTACCATTGTATTTTAATCTGGAGGGAAGAGGAATCAGACTAACAAAGTTAATGAAGTCCCTCTCCTACTCCTGAGATTCCAGCTAAGGCTTCCCTAGACCTGTACCATCCACCTCACTTGGCTCCAGCAGTAGCAATGCGGCACTGGCAGTGTAGCAGGCAGACAGTGAGAACTTGCTGTCTCCTGCTGCTTCCCAAAAGTAGCTTGCAGAGCCCAGGTTGGTATCTGTGCTACTCACAGCATGCCTGGGGGGAGAAGAACTCCACCGAGCACCTGTGACTCATGACTAGGAGAGGACAGTGCCCCTTCTCTATCCCAGCAGTGCTGCCAGACCAGCTACAAGCTCTCTGCTTGTCCTGTCTGCCCACACTGTAGAGCTAGCTCCATGCTCACAAGCTCTAGTGAGGCTGAGTCATTCCCAGTGGCAGGCTAAGGACTTCAGCACTTAATTCGTATTATGGTGGAAGTCTCCCTTCAGTACTCAGACCCCTGGGGTTGTTATTCTCATAACCACAGTTATTTTTAGCTGCTGTTTTCTTCTTTGTGAGAATTACTCCTGACTTTTACTGCTGTAGCATTGCAGTGCTTGGCCTGTAACTAGTGACTCAGTTGTGGCCCTGTGGAAGGGCCTTTTCCAGCTGCAGCTGGATGAGGCCAGCTCAGAGCAGCTGGGCTGGCGTTTCCCTCACCAGCTCCTCTCTTCTCTTCTCTGCTGCAGCCTGAGCTCTAGGGTACAAGTGTGTTCCTGCAGCAGCCCTGTGAGGCTGCTCTACTGGCCTTTCCTGAACTGCATGGATAGCACAGACTGTGCTGTTGTAATTACCATTAAAAGTTACAGAATCATCTTGTATTTGGTTTAAAAGCACAACACAACAAAAAGATGACAGATAAAAATTAATGTTAACAAATGCAAATTAAGTGGAAGAATCTGAATTATGGATACATACTCTTAAGTTCTTAATGAACAGTTAATGAGTATGCTGACAAGGCAAGTTTATATATTGCAACATGTGACTAGGCAAAGGCACTTCAGATCAAGTATGGGTAATGAGACTTCAAATGGTCATGCTTCAAAAGAAAGATAAAAGGCAAGTGACAACCTGGGTGACAAGTGAGTTAGGTGCGTGCAACTTTTCCTCCTGGCTTATTCTGTAAAGTTATTGCACAGGGCTATTAGCAGATACGATACATACATATCTATGTAAGACAATACAATCGTACTGAGCATTGGAGACTTGAGACCTGTTCCTTCTAATAGGCCTAACTTCTAGGTAGTAAAAACATAGAGAATGTGGTTATAAGGAGAAGGAGATAGAAGATACAACTGAGTTTTAAGAACTGATATTTAGAAACAGAAGTGTAGCCCAGTGGTAGCTAAAAGCAATACTTAAGAATAATGAAAAAAATATTTTGAAGAGGAATTTAAAAGTATGCACTACTATCACAGAGCAGCATCCAGAGGAAAAAAAAAATTAAAAATTCAGATTAGGAACCTACCTAATTGCTGCTGCTTACACAATCTAGTAATACAATAACAACTTAAATATATTAAAAAAATAAGAGAATATAACTTTTAAAAACCCATAATAAATTACAAATAGACTTTTGGAACTCATTTCTACAGAACATTGCTGAATTCAGGCACTTAAGATGAGACACTTAGAGAGTCAATGAGAATGCCCATAGTTATATCGGACAGGATAAAGCTGTTTTCTGTAGAATCAGAAAACCTGCTTCAGAAACATATTTACATTGAGCAACATCATTAAACATTTTCATTTCAGTAGTATCTTTTACAGGAGACAAACATTTTTAAAGCACACTTGAAGTATGGTTAATGTTAATTTTATCCTGGTTAAGGTTAATTTTATCCAGAGTGGCCACAATGAGATTTCTTGATTTCCCTGTTTTAACTGGAACATGCTAAAATGAAAAAAAATAATTTTTTTTTTAATCTCTTAATTCAGGTCCTCATAGACTGGATCAAGGCATGTGTGATTTTTTTACCTGTCTTCTTCTGGCACAACCTTTCTTTACAGATGCTTTCAGGTTGCTCTCCTGGATTGAGGAAGTCGGTTTTGAGGTCAGTGTTTCAAATGTCAGATACTTGTTCCCTGTAATCATCTTAAAGCACAGAAGTTTATACCTTCATTAGCAAAAAAACCCCAACATTTTACTTGTTAAAATGACCTACTTTTTCAAAAGATGCCCTCATAAAACAAAGTTGAAATAACCTCCCAAATTACATTTTATAGGTGAAAAAAGAGCACGACACATTTCATCCATGTGCCCAATCTATGGGAGATCATCCTCACAAAAAATGCACTGAAATATGCTCACCTATTTATTTTATTGAAATACAGGCAGAATCATAGAAAATTTCGGTTGTAAAGTACCTCTAGTGGTCATCTAATAGTAACTTTTACTAAAACAGAGCTAACTTCAAAGTCAGAATACATTGCTTTGGTCCCCATCCAGTCAAGTTCTGAGTATCTGAAATGGTAACAACTCTACAACCTCTCTGTGCAACTTGTTCCAGTACTTAACCACTCTGACTCTGAAGATTTTTTTTTCCTTATGCCCAGTAGGAATTTCTCCTGTTGCAACTTGTGCTTTTAGTGAAATTGTAATCAAACTAATACAAACTTCTATGTGTGTCTAACAGCACAATGCCTTACACACACTGCAGTCAGCACTACACAATTGATGAGGTTTGAGATTCCTTCCAGGAGCTGTTCGTTAATATGGTTTCATATGAAGACAGACTGAACACTGAAAATTTCACCATGCTAAACCTGAAACAATCTTGATAAACTGATAAACTAAAAGAAAGGAAAAGAATTATGCTACCTTAAAAGTCCCAGATAAAAATGTGTCTCTCAGAAAACACAGGAGATCATCTTCGATTTCACAAAGAAAGCAGCAGTGGCTGACAACATTAACTTATATGGTAGAAATTTTAGAAAACTATATTGAGAATGATGGTAGAACATGATGAAAGTCATGCTCTTTATTGCTTAATGTTGTTTTAGAATATATAAATTTGTAAGAACCAGTGAGAATGAGCCCTGTTATTTACTGTACCTGTTCAAAGTTAGATTTTGAATGACAACTGGTTGTTTTAGCAATGCAGTCCTTAGAATGGCAAGCTGCTTTATTTTCTTCATTTTTGGTGATGCACGTTGTATAATTTAAGACAGATTCATGAATATTTAACCCTGCTCCTTCATTTGATGTCTTTGTTTGTTGCTGTGATAAACCAAGGTTTGTCATTTCATTGTCTAATTTACCAATTTGCAAAGGTACTTTCTTTGACTGGTGTTGTTTCTCAAGAACTTGAGAGGTATTTTGACTTGCAAACTTTTTTCCCCTTCTTGCACTGTAAGTAGGAGATGGATATGTATTCAGACTCAGACTGATGTTCGATTTCTGAAGCACTGACCCAACATTCTTAACAAAGGAAGGAGAATTTGTCTTTTTGTGATTGACTTCACTCGAATTCCTATGCGAAGCTGAGTTACCAGAAAAATGAGAATTAGCCATTTGTCCACCAGACTCTGTTTTCCATCGAAATATGGGTATATCAGGTTGTGCATTTGTTTTCACATTCATTACCTTAAGTATGCTGCTATGAGTAGGATTTTTGACTGACATATTTTGAACGGGTTTGTAAACCTGAGTTATGCTGAATTTGCACGCACTCAGCATAGAAGATGAAACATCCATAATTTTTACTGGTGAATGTCTTCCAGCATTTTCTCTTTTCTTCCCATCAATTTGATTTGTGTTCTTCCCATTCATTTGCATCAACCTTCCTTTGAAAATTGGTATAATTTTGCTGACTTTTTGGGGAGGGAGTTCAAAGGCTGAATTTACAGGCATTCCTAAAGATTTCACAGCTGGTAACTCTGGTACTCCTGGTATTTGTCTACTATTCATTGATTTAGCTGTTGCTTCAATGCTGACCTTTTCTGCACCCTTACTACTACTCAAAAAAGCAGGTGTTTCTGGCTCTTTGTTCAAACGCTCCATCCAGTGGCTGTTTTCCATACTGCACGGTGAAGAAATTCCAGGCAAAGTCTGTTTCCTTGGGGGAGCCTGCGTTAGAGAAACTACACAAACCATCTCACCGGCCAATTTAATATCCTTAGATTTTATTTCCTGCAATACAACAAGAGTTGATAAATTGAATGAAATGGATTTAAAAATCTGATAGTGCCACATAATGCATCACTATATGATATCAACCTAATATACATCACAATGTATAACCATACATTTTCCTGTTTTGAATTAGAATGAACTACATTTTTAAACAATATTTTGTTGTCACTATAAATGAAGATTTGTTTTCTCCTCCCCCTGTTCTTTGTTTACTAACTATGCTGGAATATCTTATTTCTCAGAGGGAAAGACTTAAATTACAGTCATTATCTTGGTTTAGTGCTTTCCAGCTGAGTAATGCCTACCCCTTTTGAGGGGGTCTGCAGGGAGTTTGACTGACAGGACTCCTAGTCTCTTAAGACTTGTAAGGGCATCTGCATTCTGAGCAAAAGACACTTTGGAGGTCTATAAAAACTGCAGATGACACAGAGGAGCCATTCTAGCTTTGATCACTGAAGAGACATAAACAGGAACTGCTTTCTGAAAGAGGATTATAGTATTTTAGAATCTCTGTGATTTGTGTCAGTATTCTTTGTTCAGAATTAATTACTTCATTTATTTTTTTCACACACTACTACCACCAAAGAAATTTGAGTCTCAGCCTTTGTCACAACCTCATATTAAAGGAGTTTTTATTGCTTGCCTCTTTTCCATCACCAGCCATGGAGTAAATCTTATGCTTGAGTGTTTTTAAATGAGTAAATGAGTAAGTTCCACAGAAATTTATATTTTTCTTGGTTTGTTTTTTAACAATAAATTGTAACAGTAATTGTTATTTTTAGTATTGTTGTTGTTAGTATTGTTGTTATTATTATTATGGAAGAGGTGCAAGAAAGTTCTGGATATCCAACTGTAAAATACAGTCTACAGAGTTGATTATTGATAATATTGATTGCGACTAATTAACACTAAGTCCAATTTTTTTATGTATTTGTGATGTGGACAGCAACGTAACAATGGTAAATAGCAATCTAGTATTTAATTACACATTTAATTAAAGGTAACATGATTGATAGTTGCTTGTTGTGAAAAGCATAGTTTTACACTCTTATTGTGTTCTGGATATGATAAAGACCACTTCACACCATGAACAAAGTACATGCCATTAATATTTTTATAAAAAAAAAATCTTCCACGCACCAGAGCCCTGGAGAGTTCCTGTGTAGCATAAAGCGCTTTACTTGTCATCTTTACTGGAAATCCACATAGATGTGAAAGATTACGCTTCATGTCAGAAATAAAAGAGTTCAACACACTTTCTGAATCTGTTCTAGGGAAATACTGCACCGGCTGACTTCGAATGCAACTTAAAGGGTACCTGAATTAAGTGTTCAGGGATACATAACACGTTTATTTACATTTCTATAATTATGAATCATCTTTGTTAAGAAGAAAGCATGAACGTGTCTAAAGCTTTTTCAAAAAGGTGAACAAAAGCACTTGCTTTCTGAAGCGACAGAAGCTTATAAAGTTACAGGACTTCAACATGATTATACCATATTAACCTACCACAGTAAAGATTACTCAGTATAAGCAATCCTTAGTCTAGTCTTTCCTAGCAGGAAAATTTTCTTTAAAACAAATCTTTGTTGGCCATATTTTTACAGAAATTTAACTCATCCTTTTACATCACCATTTAGAGTGGCATTATCATGTTCACAGAAGCTGTGAAGAAAAGTGTTCTATTTGGCTTGCTATTATTCAACACTAGGAAAAGAGACTTGACCAAATATTTTGTTCCAAATTGTCTAGTGAAGCAATTCTGCACTGACTTCCATGAAATTATGGAAGAATAAAATGTGGCACATTCAAAAATGAAAATTTAGATCCTCACTAGAGGTGCAGTAGAGGAAATATAACAAAAATATTATGAAAGGATACGTAAAAAACCTTTCCTCAATTGGTTTGAAGTAGACACTGCAGTATATTTTTGTCTCTTCGAGATCTTCTGGAAGAATATATCCATACTGAAAAAAAATCACAAACATGTATTACAAATAAAAACTCAATTTGTACAAAAAAGGGAGGGAAAAATGAAAGCAGTGAATATTGTTTCTTACCAGATTCTTCCAGTGCATCTGCAATTCTTTATATGAACGGAAAGGAGATTCTGGAGGAATTATGTGGCTGATGTTTATGATCTGACCCATTTTCATGCTGTGCATAGGTAAAGAAGGCACACTTAGAAAGGGTGTCATAAAACTCAGCTGAAAATACATGTGATTTTTGGGAAAAAAAAATCTTATTTTTGGCATTGGAAGTATTTATGGATTATTTTTATATTTTGAGGACTAATACCTTTAGCTCATAAGTTTATGACAGAACAATAGCAATATTTCCTGAAGTACTGAAAAGAACCTGAAAAGAACTTGGCACCTACAAGTCTAATTTCTCTTGTCTGTAATACTCACTACCAGTGAAAGTGGAACAAAAGCAAATATATCTTTGCTTCTTATATTTTTATGATGAAAATCACAGGTGAAAAGAAATTGTGTCAAAGATGGAAATATGTTTTTCTTTGAATTGACACTTTCTGATAAAATTATATTTGAGAAAAAATAATGCTTTTGCGGTATCACAGAAGTAGCAGAGAGATTACTAAAATGGAAATAATACTTAAATGTGTAATTTATGATTCACTGATTAATTTTTCTCATTTTCCATAACACTGAGACCATAAAAGTAAAAAGGAAAGATTCCTGAATGTAAAACAGATGGTAAAACAGAAGTGTTCTTATCACTAATATCGAATTCACAATTTGTATGGAAAACATTCCAGGAAACGTTTGTTTCTGCTGCAATGTAAACAGAGTCCTACCTTGGCAAAACATAGCACCAGTTACTTAATATGTAATGTTGGTGAATAACTGTATTTTCATTGCTGTCAAACAGCTTTAAGGTGTTGACAGAAATATCAAAATCTCCCAGCTTAGGAAAAAAAAAAAAAGTTATTTGCAAATATTTTTACAGCAGTACAAAATTAAAATTTTCTAATTGTGTATCACAAGACACTGAAGCTTATACATTGTTATTCTTTTATCAGCTCTCATAAACTGACTATTTCAGAACATATTCCCATTACCAAAATGCACACTATCTTATGTTAGAGCCTACACTTCCAAAAGTTATGCAAGTACAAGGTTTAAAGGTTATTTAAATCAGTGAGATTTAAACTTTCTTTGAAGCATTTTCATAAGTAAGAGTACAGAAGGAATTTCTCAAACTAGGAACAGTCTCGCTTCCATGCACATTTTTTTAAAGTTTGGAAGAAACCAGCAAAGCCTGACAAATATGCCCTTGTATGTATGAACCTATTCAACAAAGGCAACATGGCTGTCACAAAGGATGGTAATTTTTCAACCTCAACCATGATTTCTTAAAAAAACAAATACTAATTATGCTTACAATCAGCAGGCTGCTCCAGTATTTTGGAAGCTGCATAGCAAATGAAGTAGATTCCAGAATAATTATATACAGGGACTTTAAACATAGTGCTGACAACTTACCTGTAGCTTCACTTTTAAGATGTTACTCAAAACTGTCTATGTATTGCAGTGAGCCAGTGAAGGCCTTCTAGAAAACACTGCTAGAAGGAAATCTAGAATCATAAAGACACTTCACTACTATATTCTCATAGCATTTTTTGAAAGGTCTCTTAATAATTAGTCTAGAATCTCAATTTTACAATGCTTGCTAGAATGCATCAATATAGATATAATATGGAAGTTATGTGCCTACAACAGATGCAGATAGTCAATGAATGTGATTACTGTCTTAATGCATTTAGAAATAAGCACTTCTGTTCCCATCATGCTAATTGCAAGTCACCTAACAGAAAAGAAGATAAAGACTAACAAGACAAACAGAATCATAGAAAATATAACTGTTTTATACCTCAGGCAGTGGCAACCGAATTGAGCAAGCCTCCACACTGATGCAAAGCTGTCTCTCTGATACATTGAGGTCCATAACTAAAACAAAAACAAAGCACAAAGCCCTGTTTCGTACTACAGTTCATCTGTTAGACAGAAAGCTAAATTAAATGTTTATTTAAAGTAATCATTAGTCAAAATGTTGCATTTAAAAATCAAAAGGCTAGTCTTCCTCAGCATGGAAATGAAAATTAATTGCATTTTAACTGTGAAAAGATAAAATAATAATGAATTACCATCCATACAGTACACCTCCCTAGGAACTCATGGCTTTCAATGCAACTGGATGCTTGATATTCATATCATTGATACACAAACACCCATTTTCAAAGGAAATGTAGTTATCATAACCCTTGGCTCTACTGAGTCATCTAGACCAGTATTATGCATGCATAAGTGGTGAACAGGTAAGGCCATATGGGTAAGGTAAGCTTCTATTGACACATCTCCAGAACATTCACCCAGCTCTGAGCAAGCTGTAGCACAATGACTGAATGTATTATGTTCCTCAACATATCTCCCTTCTGCAAATTTAGGCTTTAATATCCCCAAATGTAATCTTCAACTTTTATGCTGGAAAAAAAAACATTTTATAATTTTTGCAATAGCTAAGCAGCATGCCTTGTGACTTAACTTTTGTGAACAGCAAACATAGTACATATAGGACAGTTGCTTTAGCTCATTTTCCTATCTATCATCATGGAACTTTCACATCACTTGCAATACTCATAAGTTGAGGCAAGTGCATTTAATTGTAAGAAACGTAACTTTAAATTTTAAATTTCAACCTATGGCTGTAGATTAACAGTAGAAAAATTGCAGCTGCAGTTGCAAGGTGCAGTTGAGCTGACAACTATTACATACAGAACATCATATGCCATCAAGTGTATTTGACTGAGGTTATTTCAGAATGAAAAACTAAAAGACGTCGTGTTGGTAATACCAAGATCATGGCAGTATGAAAGCACATAACTATACCTTGCTCTCACAAGTTTACCATTAACAAAATATTGTACTTACCAACAGCATTTTGCCTTCCTGAACGAGACAAAAAATCTTTTCCTTAATAAATAAAATAGATAGATGTTATTTTCTAAACCATATGCCTAATGTCTTTATGCAAAAAAAAGGAAAAATCACAGAGTTTTGTCTGTGTGTGTCATGAATGCTGAAAAGTTTGTTCCTTTTAAGGAGAGAAAAACCCCTCTATTACCTTTTCACTAATTCATTAACATCTTATATAAAAAAGAAAGAGATATGAAAGTATATTAGTGAGCAACAATTTATACATCCTTTTTTTCCTCCCAGTAAGGAATTTATAAATAGAACTATTTTTAGTTGACTAACAGTTAATAAATTTCTCAGGTTCAAAAGCAAATCTGTACAGTACGACTGCATACTTTACCATCTATCTTCATTTTTGCCCAGCTTTAGCAACATACTTGAGTAGACAAGCAGCAAGTACCAAGGTCACATTGCTGTTAGTCACTGTCTTTCATTGAAACCAGTTTTAAATCAGCTACCATCTAGCCCTCTACTCCTATCTGCTGTTCCTGCATAAGTTGATTTCCTTCAGAAAGCTAAAGCCCTAGCAGAATTAAATATGGCCAAGGACATTAAGGGTAACAGGAAGAACTTCTATAGGTATGTCAGCGATAAAAGGAGGACTAGGGAAAAAGTGGGCCCCCTCTGGAAGAAACCGGGAGACCTGGTGACCCAGAATATTGAGAAGGCTGAGGTACTTAACGAGTTCTTTACATCCGTCTTCACTGGCAAGAACTCAAGCCACACTGCCCAAGTTGTAGAAGGCAAAGGCAGTGACTGGGAGAAGGAAGAACCACCAGCTGTAGGAGAAGATCAAGTTTGAGGCCACCTAAAGAACCTGAAGGTTCACAAGTCCAT